AACAGAGTTTTCCTCCAGAGCAAAAGTCCCGGGAATGGGAGACAGGCCCTCCCTGACAGTTTCCAAGGAGGAAACACGCAAGGGCAATTGGCCCTGCTTCTGTGGGCTCTCCTCCTGGGCCTCTGAATGCCATTTAGAAATATTTTACCATTTGGAAAAAAAATAAAAAGAAAAGAAAAAGAAATATTTTACCATTTGGGCCTGACCAGCTGTCTACCATACCTTCTACTTTCATCCCACCTCACTTCCCCTCTTCATCAAAGGTTTTTACCTTTCCCTGTCTCTAATATTATGATGAGCCCTGATAATATCATTGGTGCTTAGAAGGAATTCAAACCAATCCCCAGCTTTCTCAATAAAGAAACAGGCCTGGAGAGGTGAGCTAACTAATTCAAAGTCATGTCATACTGCTTCATTCATGTATTCATACAACCAAGAGCACTTCTTACCCTTAAACATTTAGTTTATCAGCCCAAGCATCCATCAATAGACGAATGGATACACACACACAGAGAAATATTACTCAGCCATTAAAAAGAATGAAATTTTGCCATTTGCAACAACACGGATAGATCTAAAGAGTATAATGCTAAGCAAAATAAACCAGAATACTGGAGAAACACAAATACTGTGTGATTTCACTCGTACTGGAATTTAAGAAACAAAACAAATGAGGGGTGCCCAGGTGGCTCAGTCAGTTAATTGTCTTCCTTTGGCTCAAGTCATGATCCTAGAGTTTCAGGATCAAGCCCCACCTTAGGCTCTCTGCTCAGTGGGGAGTCTGCTTCTTCCTCTCCCTCTGTCCCTCCCCCTGCTCCTTCTCTCTCTCTCTCTCAAATAAATAAATAAAACCTTCAAAAAAGGGATCACTGGGTGGTGCAGCGGTTTGGCGCCTGCCTTTGGCCCAGAGCGCGATCCTGGAGACCCGGGATTGAACCCCACATTGGGCTCCCGGTGCATGGAGCCTGCTTCTCCCTCTGCCTGTGTCTCTGCCTCTCTCTCTCTCTCTCTCTGTGTGTGGCTATCATAAATAAATAAAAAAAATTTAAAAAAACCTTCAAAAAAAATGAACAAAGAAAAACAAAAAACAAAAGGGAGAGAAAGAGACAAACCAAAAAAACCAAACTCTTGGGGTGCCTGTCTGGCTCAGTTGGTGGAGCCTGTGACTATTGATCTCAGGGTCATGAGTTCGAGCCCTCTGTTGGGTGTAAAGATTACTTAAAAATAAAATCTTTTTAAAAATGAGCACCAAAACTATATATATATATATATATATATATATATATATATATATATTTTTTTTTTTTTTTTTTAAGTCTTTCCAGAAAAAATGTGTAGTGAGCAGGTACTCTCAAGGCATTGGGGATATGAAGATGGATAGGATACAGACCCTGTTCTCAGAACTGTCTGGCACAATAGAACCTTAACACGAAGAATGCAATGAGATCAGGTCAAGATAGGGGAGCAGTGGCATTTTAGGATCACCTAAACCAGGCCTAATCTCTGTTGGACTTTTGCCACCAACCACCTAGAACTCAGGATAAACCATGTAGCTGGGACCTAGGCCTGTACCCCGAGCAGCCCAGGAGCAGCAACGGTGGACAACTTATTTTGTAGAGTGAGTGTTCAGATGGGTACCTGGAACCATTACCCTTTCCAGTGAGGGAGGGCTTGCCAGATTCACAGGTGCAGTGGATGGCCAGCCCCATACCTTCTAGCCTAGCCTCTCATCTTTTGCCTGGTCCTCTGCCTCAGAAGAGAACCTTGTGCAGCATTAAGGAAGGTAACACCTGCCAACCCCTCGGGATTAGTGGGGCGATGGACATCCTAGCCCAGTAGCCTTCCTATACAGAGGACAAGGTGGATTGTCCCACATGGCTCTGAGAAAGCTTGTGCCTCAGAGAGCAAGTAGCTGACCTGCCTTCCTGTTCTAGACTATAAAAGGAACCCAGTAGGAGGAGGAGGAAGGTTGAGAATCCCCCTCCTAGTAGAGTCCACAGCCCCTGCTGGCTCTCCCAGGAGGACAAGCTCACCCCTAAATCCAATCTTCTCCCTACAGAGCTGCTGTTGTTGCTGCTTCTCAAAGCTCAGGAGGAAGAAGCCTTTTCTTTCCTCTTCTCCCCCTCCCACATTCGTCCCTCCTCCCTCCAGGGCCCAGAAGAGTAGGCTCTGGTTCCCAGCAGCCTGAACCTTCCCTCCAGATGAGAGGCTTCACAGCTAAACACTGAGCTTACCAAAAGCCTACACACCCTGCTTCCAGGGTTGGCCTGTCAGGAGTCAGCCAGAGTCCCTCGGAGTTTCTCCTGATCATTCACTACCTGCAGCCAGGCTGACCATGCTTCTGCCCACGTTTTTTAATCCATCAAGGAATAATCGAAATGACTCATTAACACCTCCTGAGGATTCACAGAGCACCTTTAGTTCTGATTCTCCATTCTTCCTCCCATGGTTGCCTGGGTTGGGAATTATCTCCAACTTTGCTCAGAGAGGTTAAGTAACTTGCCCAAGGTCACACAGTGGCAAAACAACAACAACAACAACAACAAACTTGTGTCTCCTGCCCAGCAGTTTGGCAGGTGCTCCCATAATCTTTATGGAAGGGCGAAATGTGCCATTTCCTCACTTCACTGGCCTGGGGGTGTGGGGATTGTGTTAGGGAGAGGAAAGCGGTTTCCCTTCCTTAAGGAACCTTTGACCTCCTTAGTTCACTCTCACTTCCGAAGAAGTTAACAAATTTAACTCTAATCGCTCCGATTAGACCCTATGCTCAGTGTATCCATTATCAGAGCAAGGCTACCGCTCCCAAGAGCCACGACGAGTCAGTCTAGTATTTTCCTTCTCAAGAGGGCAAAGACCAAAACCCAAACCCAAACCCAAATAAATCGCTTCCCTTTGCCCCGAACCATGCAGCCCCCACGCAAGCCGCCACGAGTCCCCGAGCCCTTGCGCGGCCGCAGGCGCCCCCGACACACGCCACGCCACGCCACACTGCGTTAGGGAGGCGTCGGGGAGGGGGCGCGGAGCGCGCGGGCCGGGCGCGGCGGGGAGCCGGGAGGGGGGGAGCCGGGAGGGGGGGCGCCGGGCGCGCTGCCAGGCCGCGCCGCACCGCGGGGGCCGGCCGCCCCTCACCACGTGGTGGTGGCGGCGGCCGCGGGGTCCCGGGCGCCTTCCCAGCTGGAGAAACCCGGAGCAGCCGGGGAGGAGGAGGAGGCAGCGGCGGCGGCGGAGGAGGAGCGGGGCGGGCGGGAGGGAGGGGGGCTGGGGGGAGGGGTGGGGGGTGGGGAGAGACCCGGCGGCGGCGACAGGGCGAGAGCGGAGCGCGGTGCCAGGGGGGTGGGGGCACCGGTGCCCGTCTGGGGAGGGAGCAGGCGGAGGGGGTAAGCTGCGATTACAAGCAGGAACCGGCAGCAGCTGTGAGTCCCCCGCGGGGCTGGGGCGGGGGGAGGGCAGCGTCGCCCCGGCCGGCCCCGGGGTCGCAGGGTGGGCCGCAGGAAGGGGGCGGGCGCTCGGCCGCGAGTTGGCCCCGGCGGGCCCAGGAGGGGAAGGGTCCGGCGCCGGCCGCCCGCGTCCCCCTCGCCGCCCCCCCTCTCCCCCTCCGCCGCCGCCGCTCCTCAGGCCGCACCGCCTCGGGAGCCCCCTTCCCCGGCCCGGGGACGGCCGCCGGGGGGCCGGGGCTCGGCCGGCAGTGGGGGAGGGGGCTGCGTGGTCTCGGCCCCCGAGAGGGGAGGGGCGACAATTTCTGTCGGCCGAGCTAAAGGGGTTTAAAGGGCGGCCCTTAAAGGGGCCGCAGGAGGGGCCCGGGGCCGAGCGGGCACTCCCTCCCCAGCCGCCCTCCGCGGCTCCCCGCCGGCGCCGCCGGGCCGGGGGGCAATGCGGAGGAGGGCAGCGCCTGTGGGGCGGCCCAGGGCACGGAGCCCTCGCCGGTGGGGCTGGGCCCGAGGTGGCGGGCTGGGGGGCTAGGGGGTGTGGTGAGCGCTGGCGGGCGGAGTTGGGGGAGGGGATTTGCCCGGGCAGCAAGGGGTTAAAGGTGGGGCCAGCCCTACAAACACGCGCACACACTCCTTACTCAGACCCGGTCACACGCGTTTGCCTGGTACTTAGTGGGGGGTGGGGGGTGGGGGCCCAGGCCTGAGCCCTCCTCACTCCAGGCTCCTGCCGCCGGGCCGTGGGAGGTCGCGGGCCCCACTGTCTCAACTCGCACCCCACGCCGAGCCGAGCCCCCTTTCCTACGCGCACACACGCTCCGGCGCGCGCGCACACACACACCTCGGACATTCCCATAGTGCCTCACGTGACACACGGCCCCGAACGTGCCCACCCTTCACACACGCTCACGCACGCGTGCACACACACACACACACACACACACACACACACACACACACACACACACGGCCTCCGGGCCACTTCCCAACTCCACTCCCGACCCCCAGCCGCAGCCCTGCGAAGGCTCTCATTGACTGTGACACACCTACACTCATTCACAGACACACACACTCCCCCCCACACATGCCAACCACAGACACACATTCATAAACAGGGCCGGGAGAAGTACACACGCACCCCCTCGCCTACTCTCTCTGAGCCCTGAGTCATTCCTGCCCCCTCTCAGGGCTCCCCGGTCCCCTATGTTGGAACACATTGGCGGGCTAGGGAATTCTTGGGCAGCCCCTTCGCAGGGCTCCCCTCTCCTCTCCACGGTGTTGTTCCCTCTGACACTCTGGGAGGACTTCCTGTGGGTCCCAGGTCAGAGGCGAGGAAGGCCTGGAGGGTTGCCACTGCTCTGGTGTGAGTGGGGGAGGCACTTCCTTTTCCTGAACTCGGATCCTGCAGGAAGAAGCTGGGAAGTTGGGTGGGGTCCCCACAGAGGCCGGCCCTGGCTGTGGTGGGGTTGACCTTCCCAGAAGCACTGGGGCTTAGGGAGGAGGGGGGGGTGTGCCAGAGGCTGGGAATGAACTTGGCCTGGAGGTACTTGGGGGAGGTGCTTGGGGAATTGAGGCCTGGGGGGGTGAAGGGGAGCTGAGGAGTACATCAGGGCAGTCCCTGGCAGGGTCCTGACCAGAAGGCAGTCGTTTCCTGTCCACAGGTCTCCCTGAGTTCTGGGAGGAACTCTTCCCTGCTGCTGGCAGCCTAGCTTACTTGTCCCTCTTGGCCTTCCTCTAACCCCCAAGTCTTTGGCTGGTTGTAGCCCCTTCCCCTAAAGGCAGCAGAAAAGACAGGGCTTAGTAGTTTGGGGAGGAGATGGGATGGGAGCTCCCCAGCTGCCTCTCTCAGCGGGCCACAGCATTCCCGGCCACAGCGTTCCTCGGCCCAGGTCGTGGGGGTATCAGGGACAATCTCCAGGCTGCCCTCTCCACCGTTGCTCCTGCTCTCCCAGGAGGCCCAGTGGGGGCCGAGGCGTAGGCCCTTGCCATGGAGTCCATGTTTGAAGATGACATCAGCATCCTGACCCAGGAGACACTGGGGCCCAGTGAGGTGTGGCTGGATGCCCCAGGAGACCCCTCGCTGGGGGGGGACATGTGCTCCGCCTCCCACTTTGCCCTCATCACAGCCTATGGGGACATCAAGGAGCGACTGGGAGGCCTGGAAAGGGAGAATGCCACCCTCCGACGCCGTCTCAAAGTCTACGAGATCAAGGTCAGAACTTGGAGAAGATGGGGGGGGGGGCTGGCTGTGTGTGTGTTGGGATGGGGGCCGCCAAGGGCCAGGAATCCCAAAGAGAGTCCAGGATCCACACTCTCAGGAACTTGAGGGTCTCCCATGAGGGATGGGAAGGGTCAGGAAAGCATCCTGATGGCCGGAGGGGTGGGACCTTGGATCTCAAGATGTGGTCGGTGGGAGATGCCTCCAGGCTGTGTGGAACCCGCGTGAGCAGGGGATGGAGAGACCAGGACTTCAAGGCAGGTTGTGGGGTGGGGGCCCGCCGTAGGCTGAAGCCCGGCCAGGGAGCTGGGTGCCAGCTCTCCTGAGGGCCTGCCTGCCCACAGTACCCGCTGATCAACGACTTTGGAGAGGAGCACGGCTTCTCCCTGTATGAAATCAAGGATGGCTCCCTGCTGGAGATGGAGAAGGTCAGCCTGCAGCAACGGCTCAACCAGTTCCAGCATGAGGTAAGCCCAGGCTGGGCTCCCTGAGCTCCTTGCTTCACGGTGTTTCTAACACCTCCCCCACACCCCAGCCCCTGTCTCCTTGATCAGAGGTGGCCGCAGTCTCCCCTAGAATGGGCTGGGCGTCTCCCACCCCTCCACTGGGTGCTGGCCGTGTGGGCGGGAGGCTCGGGGAGCTCTTGGGCTCCCACATCAAGGATGGCCTGACGGTGGCATGCCCTCCCCTCCTTCCGGGCCCCATCCAGTTGCAGAAGAATAAGGAACAGGAGGAACAGCTTGGGGAGATGATCCAGGCTTATGAGAAACTTTGCGTGGAGAAGAGCGACCTGGAGACCGAGCTGGGGGAGATGGTGAGGCCCAGGGAGCTGGGGGTGCTTGAGGGTGTGACCTTTGTCGTGTGACGGTGTACAGCCCTACGTGTGTGTGTCTGTGGGTTCCTGTGTGTCTCTGAGTGCCCATCCCCCTGGTGAGTGGGGCTGAGCGTGTCACACAAATTGCGAGTGACTCCCAGCACACCCTGGCCACGCAGCCTAGCAGACTGGGCCTTCGCGTATGTTTGGGTCTTGTGCTGGGCCAACTCTGTGCCTGGGGCACTGTGCCTGGAAGGCTGTGTGAGTGAGGGCAGAGGTCATCGGGTTTCCGTGACTGCTGGGATGGGTCTCCGCGTCTGTGCGATTCTGAGTAGGGGGATGGCCACGTGTGTGAGCAGGTGGGCAGGCGTCAGAGTCAGAGCGCACGGTCTCTGCCAACTCCTGCCTGTGACCTGGATCCAGTCGCTTAGCCTCTGTCCCTCCTCTGAAAAGGGCACATGGTAACAGCATTGCTGAGTTGTTCCAGGGCATCTGTGTAAAAATGCTCTGCCTTAAGAATCATAAACACTCAACATGGCCTTTAGTGTGTGCCAAACACTGATGTGATCACTTTAGATGCATTTACTCATTTTAATGCTTATAACAAAATTACGAGGTAAGTGTGGTTATCCCCGTGTTATAGATGAGACAGATAAAGTCCAGAATGGTTGTCACATCTGGAAATAGAAGTCGTTACGCTTCTGAGGGGGTGGCTCTGTTTGGACCGAGGGGTTCTGTGGTCTTCTGAGTGTCTTGTGTGTTCATGACGGGGAAGAGGCATTAACTCTGACCTTGCAAAGGGGCAACAGCCAGAAACATCTGCATTGCAGTTGTTGGGAGACAAGACCTCACACTCGTGGCCACTTAGAGTGCAGTGGGGATGTGTGACTTGGGGCCTCAGCTCAGTTTAGGAGGGATGGCTTCCCAGAAGTGGGGGAATCCTGGGTTTGTGAAGCCCTCAGGGGTTCCCTGGTCCTGCACAGACCCCACCCCTTTGTCTCTCCCTGCAGCGGGCCCTGGTGGAGACCCACCTGCGGCAGATCTGTGGCCTTGAACAGCAGCTACGACAGCAGCAAAGTCTCCGGGACGCCGCCTTCCCCAGCCCCAGCCCCCCGCCCACCCCTGGCCCACCGTGTGCTGATCTGGACCTGCACTACTTGGCATTGAGAGGAGGATCTGGCTTGAGTCATGGTGAGATCTCTACGACCCCCGATGTTCTTGCCCTAGAGTCCCCAAGCCTACCCCCCCGTTTCAGCATCATTGGACACCTCTCCCTTCTGGGATTGATAGTTGACACCCCACTATAATGTCTTAAATTTCTCCCGTAATTACCGTATCCCTCTTTCCCACCTGTTTCCTTACCCAGTGTCTCCCATCAACACCCCCTCCCTTACCACCGGCTTTCCCTGGCTACCCCCGTGCAGTTCTCGTGTGTGTCAGCAGAGGGCACCTGTACTCAGAATCCCCATCCTGTCCTAGGTGTTGATTAGCAGAGGCCAGAGGATGCTTGGAGATTTGAATGTGGCCAGGGAAGCCCTATATGAGGCCACAGTATTATTTTGTCCCTGGCCTCCAGGAAGATTAGAAGAAGCAGCTCAGGCCCTCCTTCTTTATGGCCCTCAGCAGAGGCATCTTGGGGTACCTGGCCTCTGGCTGGCCCCTTTGGATCTCTCATGCTGCCACGCTCACCTGTTTCAATCTCTTCTGCTCTGGGAGTCAGTGGAGGGTCTCAGCAGCCAGACCTAGCCTGACTTTATCCTCCCTCCTGGTAGCAGGCTGGCCAGGCCCCACAGCCAGTGTGAGTGACCTGGAGCGACAGCGGCTGGAAGAGGCCCTGGAGGCTGCCCAGGGCGAGGCCCGGGGGGCTCAGCTTCGGGAGGAACAGCTCCAGGCTGAGTGCGAGCGGCTGCAGGGGGAGCTGAAGCAGTTGCAAGAGAGCCGGGCCCAGGTAAAAGGCAGGGACACTGGCACCCAGGACCCTGCCCAGAGCTCCATAGAGGCCTGGGGGCTGCAGCAAATAGCCTTTAGAGGCCCAGGACTTCCTCACTTGGTATAGACTGGCCCTGGGAATGGTAAACGGCAGTGTGGGGGGGGGGCTGGGCAAGGTTATGTTGGCATCTGGCATCTGACCTCAGTCTTCCTTCCTAGGATCTCGCCTCCAATCAGTCAGAGCGGGACATGGCATGGGTGAAAAGAGTCGGGGATGATCAGTAAGTCCCATCTGAAATCCTCTCTCTCTTAATAATCTCTGTGCCCTGGGGGCGGCATTTCCCAGGTCCCCCTTTTGGTTCACTTCTCCTGTTCTGTGTTGCTCAGAGGCCCTGTTTTCTAGCATCAGGGCAGTGGGGTTTGGCTGTCTTGTGTGGCTTTGCATCCTTTACAGGAAGGAGGTGGAGTTCTGGGATGTTGCCTTTGCTTTCTTCTGGCACCCAAACTTACGTCTCCGTGAGGTATCAGGGGCTGAGAGATTTCTTCAGCAGCTTTACTGCTGTGTTCTGTGTCCCCTGGTGAGTTTTTAGGCCTCTCTGGGGCCCCATTTTCTCTCCCAGTAACAAGGCTAGTTCGTTGGGTTAACTGTTCCCTCCCTGGTGAGGAGGAAGAAGGTGGTCTCTTTCAGGATCTGTGGTGCCTTGTTTCCTGTTTCAGGAGAGAGCTGAGGCTGAGAAGAGGGGCTTACTGTGTTCTGTAGCTGCAGGGAGGGGAATGAGAGCCTGTTCTGCTGGGGTGTCCCTTGGAAATCCAGCTGGGAGGGAAGGGCAGCAGGGAGTAGGGATGGAGCTCCGTCAGTGGGGAGTCGAATGGTGGGGGCCTCTAGGGCAGCACTGGGTAGCAAGGGAGAGGGCGATGGCAGCCTGATAGCAGTGAACCTGATGCTTTTCACATCCGCACCCTGAACTCATCCTCTCCCGCTTTCTGAGAAGTAGAGCACAAACCTTCTTCCGCCTAAGCCTTCTCCCCTGAAACCAGTCCTGTGGCACAGGCTCCATACTTTCATTGGAGGGGAGGGCCAGGGCCCAGAGAGGGATGGGAATGAAGTCTCCATCCCACAGTATCCCCAGCTACAGGACCCCAGGGGTCCTCCTTCCAGCAGGCTTCCTTCTCACCTTCCTCCCAGCTTCTGGCCACCTGGGGGTACCCCTCACTCTTCTCTGCACCCTGGGGTAAGGGCCTGGGTGGAGCTGTGATAGTAGTGGGGTGTGAGAACCTAATTTGTGGGACTGGTAGGTGGGATCCCTCAGCTAGGCTGCTAGGCGGTGTTGGGGTGCCTGTGCAGTGGGTGCACCCTAGCTTGTGGCTGAGGCTCAGCCCATCCTAGCCCATGTGCCCAAACTCAGAACACACACACACACACACACACACACACACACACACACATTCTAGAAGCCTAGTTTGCTTCAAAAGTTATAGCACGGAGCCTTTTATGGCTCAGTGAGTCCAACCCCCTCTTAGCAGACCAGCAGTGAAGGCTCCTCTAGCTGGTGGAATCCAGAGAGAGGACTTTTTTGGCAGGGCTGGAATCTGAACAGCCAGGCTCTGAATCCTCCCAGGGATGCTGAGTGGCTTTGCTTTACTGACTTCAGCTTTGTGACCCCAGGTTTCCCTTGTAGACTCAGAGGTCAGTCATTACTGAGAGATGTGAGAGGAAGGTGATAAGGGTGGGAGGCCAAAGAAGGAATGGTGGATTCCAAGGGCTGTAAGTGAGCGAGAGAAAGAACTCCTCCCATAAGGTGCTGGTAGAGATCAGAGCGTCCATGCTGCCTGCCCCTGTGGCCAGCACAGCCCCTTCCCTTCCCTTCCCACCCCATCCCTTTGGCTTGAGGAAGCTGCGCTTTGGCTTTGCCCAGGGGCTGGCTGGAGCCACTCTTACCAGAGGTGACCTCCGGCTCCTCCCCTCCATCCCGACAGTTGGGACTCTGCATTGGTGCCTTCTGGACCTCTCACCCCAGAGCCAGCCAGGCTCTGCTTGCCAAGCTTCACACTTTTTTGCAAGCAGAGCGTTTCTGGACAGCCCCAGCTTGGCAAGAGTTAATTCTCAGAGGAAGTCCTCACTCCCCCGGCAGTTTTATTTTCTTATAAACTCAGCTCCTTTTGGTAATTGCTTCCCGAGTGCTCCCTCCCCTGTCCTCCCACCTGAAGCCTCAGTCACCTGCTCTCAGCTCACTTTCCCCCAGCAGCCCCTCCTCTTCCTTCCACTTCGTCCAGACCGTCCAGGCTAGTGGGAGCTGTCCCTGTGGACTTTCCTAGGAGAGGACTGCAGGGCTAGGTTATGCACAGGGGGGCGAGGGAAATCCCTGGATCCAGGCTGCCCATCGGTGGGAGCCTTGTGTGTTCCTGCAACATGCTTACCTGTCTCAGTTTGGATACCTCTAGGGCAGCCAGTTTTACTCTGGGAGTCCTGTTAAAATATCCTCCCTTATACTGCCACTGCGACTAATTCCCTCTACTCTCCCTGCAGTGGTCCTACCTATGCTGAAGGGACAGGCTTGTGAGGCAATCTGGGCCCCAAGGATTCCCAGTCCTTCCCATCCCAGTCCCCAGTCCCCAGTCCGCCAGCTCTGGTCATTAGTGTACCTCTGAAAGTGGCTGTCCAGACCAGACCAAGCCACTCTGCCACCCTCCGGGTCTGACCTCTGGTCACGGTTGCCCTGCTATTTGGTCAGCCCAGCACCTAGTGGCTGGTGCCCAAGGGACAGAGTGTCCCAGAAGAAGAGCTGTTGGAGGTCAGTCAGGGACCAAAGGCAATGACGAGGGAGGGTGAGAGTGAAGACCAGCCTACTCCTTAGGATGCACAGGGAGGTAAAGACCCTAGGAGGAGGGGGGGTCTCAGTCAAGGTGGGTGCGCAGAACCCACAGCTGCCTCCCCTCTGAGCCCAGCTCAGAGTCATAGGTCCTGGTGTGGCCCTTCTGAGGGCGTGGCTAGTGCTGAGGGCGGAGGGGAAATTGTGGAGTTGGGGTTTGTTGAGGGGGCTGGGGGCTCAAGTAGGCAGGCCCGTGAAGACAGTGAGGGCCCAGTGATGGAGGGGGACTCCCAGAGAGAAGATGGGGGCTCACTGTGAGCAATGAGGGAGAGAACCATAGGGCTTGCTTTCCCCCCCGATGTGGGGGGCTCAGTGCTGCAGCCCTGGCTCTTTTCCGCCACCCCCCCCCACAGCCCTCTCTCCGCCCACAAGCCTCTGCGTGGGCTGCGGTTAGTGGTGGGGGAGAAGTGTGAACTCGGAGAGAGAGGATGGAAACTCTGCACAGAGGTCAAGGGCAGTGTGGGGTGGGTCAGGACGGAAGTCGGAGACCCCCGTCCCCATGTACCCTGAACTTAGTTTCATGCCCCAGAACCAGCAGGCCCAGGGCCTCCCCCTTCACGCTTCTCACCCTCCCTACTTCCTTTCTTTCAAATCTCCTTCAGCCAGGGCAAGGGTGCTCACAGGAATTAACCCCTGAGCACTTGCAGCCCTGGGACTCCCCAAGGGTGGGGAGCAGCTCTCATTGTGGTCTGAGGGATTGGTGGGCTTTGAATCTGCCTCTGACTCTTTCCTTCCCAGGAAGGCAGAGAGCAGCTCTTCCCCACAGTCTCCTGGATGGGAAGTGATGTACACTCCCTTCATTCTTAAGCCAGAGTCATTGAGTTGATTGGTATCTCCAAAAAAGAATCAAAATGAATTTCTGTCTTCATCTACCTGTGTCCTGGGCACTCCTGATTCTTCGTCCATGTCCATGTCCATGCAGGACCTTAGGTGAGGCAGTTTACCTACAAACTCATCCTCTCCCAGAGGATGTGGCGGGGGCATTGTCCCCTTCTACTGCTGGGCAAACTGAGGTTCAAGGAAGTTAAGTGTGAAAATACAAAGTGGGTCCTGAGCAGATGGGCCGATAGTACCTCTGTGGTATCTTTCTGGTTCAGGTTCTTCCTCAGGTAGGAGGCTCTCGGACGAGGGATGATCAGATGATTTTTTTGACCAAACCTGATCAGTTCTGAAAGTGAAATTTTCAACATGTAAACATTTCAAAACCTTGGTAATTACACTGGGGCAAGTGGTGTGAACCAGGATGGTCCTGAGTCCTGGGCAAATTGGGATGCATGTGCCCCACCCCTCCCCACACCGGCCCTCTGGTTCCCAGCCCAGTGCGAGTTGCTGGGCTGAGTGGTAGCTGGGGAGGCTTTCCAGACGCAGCGAACATCGAGCTGTGCTGGGAAGGTGGCAGGGCTGCCACGAAGAGCCAGGGGCTCTGTGGACCTCGAGTCATAGCTGGTTGAGGAGAGTGGAGGGGCTCAAGGCGCCTAAAAGGAAGTGGTAGAGCACTGGGTTGTTGCAGAGCGACTTCCTCCTCCCCGTGGCCCGCAACCTCAAGTCCGCTCCACGGCCGGGTGCCTGTGGTTCCCTCCCCGAGGGTCGGGCGGGAAGACTGATGCTGGGTGTGCCCGTGGGTGGTGGAAAGTTTGGTCCCTAAAGTCCCCCATGAGGCTGAGCTGGCTGGGAACAGCTGGCAGGGGTGGGGGGCAGCTCTGGACAAAGCTGGAAGGGCTGGGAATGCTGGATGTCTGTTGGCCTCCCGAGCCTGAGTCAGCTGCTTATTCTAACCCCAGGACCAGCTCTGGTCTGATCTTGACCCCAGTCCTACCTCGACACTGATCCCAGCCCTGCCTTTAACCCTGCCCCTCGTCCTGACCCCAGCTGTGTCCACAGTCCTGATCTGATGGAAAATGGAACTGTCAGCCCCAGCCCTCATCTGAGCCTGACCCCAGCCTTGCTTGTGGCTTCGTGTCCATCCCTAGTTCCAATCCCATGGCCCCGCACTGGCCCTCATGGTGGCCCACCCAGCACAGGCACTCAGCGAACTTCCCTGGAAGGCACCACCAAGTCCATGTGCCTCACAGTTGGTTTGGGGTAGAAAGAGCCTCTCAGCAGAGAAGGATGTTCTGGTTCCTGACTGTCCTCATCTCAATTGCTTTATCAATCACCGTAAAGATCATTATTTCTAGATGAAATTTTGAGATCCCTGAATTATTTGTGGAAAGAATGAATGAAAGGATAAATCAATGAAGGATGGAAAGATCTGCAGCGGAGGGAGTCCTCATTCCTGCCAGCTCTGTCATTTGCACTCTGGCTCCTTTGAGGTGCCAGCTCAGCAGGCTGAGGTGCCAAGAGCAGGTTTGAATCCCTGTTTTGTGCCACCACGGTTCTGTGACCTTGAGCCAGCTTCTTAATAGCCCTGATCTTCCCATAACGTCTATCACCTTCCTCTTCTCTCTGGGGGCAGGGGTGGTGATGCTCAGGCTATTGTGGAACTCCCCAGCTGCTGCCTCCTCATCTTTCCCTTCTGCCACCTTCCTGTCCCCCACCCCTTCCTGATCCTCTTGGAAGGCAGTACGTTGCTTAGCGGTCAGTGGCCTGGGGGCCATAGCTCTGTTTCAGTACCTCCACTGCTCCTCAGCTTGATGACTCTGAAAGCTTCACTTTTGTCATCTGTAACATGAGAGAGGAGTGGCAACACTGTGGGGTTGTTGGCAAGATTCAGGAATGTTGTTTAGCATGATGCCAGGCCCGTGTCAAGCACTCATAAAGATCATCTATTATTCTTTTCTCCCTAGGTCCCTCCCAGGTTCTGAGAGATGTAGATAGAACTTTCCCCCATACTTTAAGCGATAAAAAGGTGCTCCAGAGCAGCCATCGGCTGCCATTCACCTGACCCATGCTTCCCAAACAGTCGTGATGGTGGGAACTAGCATTCAGGTGTGGGCCGGGAAGCCAGGAAATGGAATGTGTATTCAGGTGCATGTGCGCAAGCCTTGGTTGTGTTGTGAAGTTGAGATCTTTTTCCACTGAATTGGCAGTGTTTTCTAATGTGAGTCATTCAGGTCATTAGCGAATTTAGCAGCCTGGGCCTGTGTATCTTGAGGTGGGAAGAGATGCTTGAAGATAGGGGAGGTCCTGAAGCTCCTAAGGGCCAGGGGATGTCAGGAGGTCAGGCCCCACCACCTTGCTCAGGGGAGTCTTAGACATCTTTGTGAGGCTGCCCATGAGGCTGCCCGGTGCTCCACGAGGAAGATCCTCACCTGCCCTCACCAGCCCCCTCTCCCAGTACCTGGGCAGAGCTTGGGGAGGGGCTGGGCATTCTGGGCTCTGGGCTTCTTCCCTCTACTTCCTGCTGGCCTGTCTGTTTTTCTGTGAGGAGGGTGTCAGGAGCAGGGCAGTAGGAACTGGGGTAGCTCCTGACAAGGGGAGGAAGGCAAGTGGAGAGATAGGAGCCCGGGAACTGAGTGTGGCAGGTGAGATCTCCAAAGCAGGGTGTGAAGGCAACGACCTGTATCTGTCACCGAGATACAGCAGTATAGGCGGATGGGGAGAGAAACTAGCGGCTGCTAGTCAGAGGGGAGATGCTCCCATCAGTGCCCTGCTCAGAGCCTCCTCCTGCTCCCACCACCGAGGGGTCAGCATGGTGCTCCAAAGCCCCCAGTCTGATGGGGAGACAGAGCTCCTTGCCCAGTCTGCAGAGGGGAGCCTGTCTTTGGGGAGTCCCCAGTTTAACGTGGGACATGCAGGCTGGACCTTCTGGTCTGATGGGGGAGATGCCATTTCTTCCCAAAGACCCATGAGATTAAGGTCAGGGAACACAGGACACATCACATGAGGGCTGAGACGTGATGGGATTGAGCCTCCAGCACCTTGGCCAGGGTTCCCCAAAGGACTTCCTCCTCTCTGCTCCCTTTCATCCCTGTGCATCCCCACATGGGTAGGTGAGCCCTCTCCCTAGGAAGTGGGCTTGTCCCCCAGAATCCCAGCCTCTTTGCAATAATTTGGCTTTGGCCCAAATGGGTTAAAAATAGTTTTGTTGTGGGAGGGGCTTTTGCCTCCCCCATCACCCAGCTTGCCCTGGGGACTAGCAAGAGAGAACCAGCCAGTGAGCAGAGAGCGCAGAGTGAAGGAGCTCAGTCATTATCTACCCTCTGCACCTCAGCTTTTCCTGCCCTCTGAAGCCCTAACCTCAAGACTTCCCCTTCTCTCCTCCAGGGTCACACACACACACACACACACCGTTCCTCACACTCAACTGGCCTCACTCCAGCCTTCACTCCCTCCCTTGCACATGCATCCTCTCTCCCATGACCATTACATCAGAATAGGGAAAGGCTCCTCAGGGTTTGGAGATACCTCCCCCAGCACCATTCATGCCCAGCTCCCTACAGCTCCTGGAGTAAGAGGGCATCCCCTGGGAGAAGATCCGCTGGAGTGGCTGAGCCTCTCCCTGCCACTTCCCTCCAGCCCTACCTTCCACAAAGTTCAGGAGTCCCTTCTGGACTTGGTGAGGGAGCGGGGAGATCTGAGGAAACCAAGCCCCCGCCTCGCAGGCTGTGTGTCCAAGCCCCAAACAGAGATGAAAGCAGTGACCCAAGGCGACCACAGAGAGGCATGTGAGGTCAGGAAGGGCTCCCTGGTGGTGCACAGCCCAGGCTGGGAGAGGGGAGGGTCAGTGCTGAGAGAGAGAACCTTCTGTAGTCCTGGGTCAGAGTGACCCAAAGAGAAAGGAAGAGAAAAGGAAATGGGTGAAGTCTTTGCTAAGTTCAGAGCCTGTTCCAGGTCCACACAGGTGGGTGCCCAGGAGGCAGTGGGAGGAAGAAAGGGAAGAAGAAAGGCAAACTGATAGGGAGGCTTAACTCATTCTTTATTTCCCAACCATCTTCTGGGTGCCAGGCCTGGGCAAGGTACTGGGAATATAAATACAGTGATATAATGCTCCCTTTTGAAGAACTGCCAATGCAGTTCCAGAACAGGGCAATTTCTGATAAGTGCTTATTGTGAGCACCGCACCTCTGGAGGTGTGCGGTATGTAGCTGCTGCTCACAAAGACCTCCATGTAAAGGACTCCCTGGAGATCCCGGGAGGTGCACCACTCTAGGGGCAGCTCTGACGTGGATGCGAGGCAGTGGACTGAGAACTTGGTGGACTTGGGTTTAAGCTTATCACTTGGCTCCTCTGCTGAGCCAGAAGGCCATGTCTTTACTTACGAAAGGGGGTCTTCTTAGGCGGTACAACACTGGGGTCCCTGGCCTTTCAATGGTGAGGACTCCTCATGGACCCCTGCCCCCAACACACAGTTTGTACTCACACTTTTAGTATTCGCTCTCTGAGAAAATTCACAGTCAACTAAAAGCCACTCTAAATACAGTGCCGTTTTTTGGTGAATCTGTCACCACAGCTTCTGCATAGATTAGAAAAACATTCGCACACACCTGTATCAGATGTGCTCAGGCTACAGGCAGTGCTTGAACACACGGATTCAGGGACCCCTTGGAATCACTGAGCTCCCCAGCCTGTGATCTGGGAGCTCCAGCCCTAGCCTAAGGTAAGGTTCACTGGGAAGAGAGGGAGGCTCCCTGGAAGAGGCAGTGTTTGAGCTAGACGGTAAAGCCCAAGAGGATTTCTCCCTTGGGGTAGGAGGGCCCCCAGGAGAGCCAGAGGTTGGGGCACAGCCAGTTCTCCCTCCACAGCAGTGACAGTAAAGCCACCTCCCTTCCCTTCCTCAACTCCCTGCCCTCTGACCTCAGGGTCAGGGCAGGCTGGAGTCAAGCCTTGCGTGGGGATGTCTTTTAGGGTGAATTTGGCGCTGGCTTACACGGAGCTGACCGAGGAGCTGGGCCGGCTTCGGGAGCTGAGTTCCTTGCAGGGGAGGATCTTGAGGACTCTGCTGCAGGAGCAGGCCCGGAGTGGCGGTGAGATGGGGCTGAGGTGGGGCTGAGGTGGGGCGGGGCAGGGGAGGCCCGGAGCTGGGTCCGAAGGGGGCAGCGGGGCGCTGGCGGGCCGCGGCTCCCCGCCTCTGACGCCCTCTCTCCCCGCCACCGTCCGTCCACCCACCCGCCCCGTCCCGCTTCTCTTCCAGGCCAGAGGCACTCGCCGCTGTCGCAGCGCCACTCCCCGGGCCCCCAGTGCCCCTCGCCCTCCCCGCCCGCGCGCGCCGCGCCCCCCTGCCCCCCGTGCCAGTCCCCCGCCCCCCAGCGCCGCTCCCCCGGGCCGCCGTGCCCCTCACCCCAGCAGCGCCGCTCGCCCGCCTCGCCCTCCTGCCCGTCGCCCGTCCCGCAGCGCCGCTCGCCGGTGCCGCCGCCCTGCCAGCCCCCCAGCCCGCAGCGCCGCTCCCCGGGGCCCCCCGCCTGCCCGGCCCCGCAGCCGCGGCCCCCGCCGCCCCCGCCGCCGGGCGACCGGACGCCGGCCGAGCGCGCCTACGCCAAGCCGCCCAGCCACCACGTGAAGGCGGGCTTCCAGGGCCGGCGCAGCTACTCGGAGCTGGCGGAGGGCGCGGCCTACGCGGGCGCCCCCCCGCCCTGGCTGCAGGCCGAGGCCGCCACGCTGCCCAAGCCGCGGGCCTACGGCGAGCTCTACGGGCCCGGCCGGCCGCTCAGCCCGCGGCGCGCCTTCGAGGGCATCCGGCTGCGCTTCGAGAAGCAGCCGTCGGAGGAGGAGGAGTGGGCCGTGCCCGCCAGCCCGCCCAGCCCCGAGGCGGGCGCCATCCGCTGCGCCTCCTTCTGCGCGGGCTTCCCCATCCCCGAGGCGCCGGCCGCCGCCTACGCCCACGCCGAGCACGCGCAGTCCTGGCCGTCCATCAACGTGAGTGGGGCGCCCGCGAGGGGCTCCCTCCCCGGGGCCCGCACTGGTCTCTGCCCGCGCGGCGCTCGCATGGGTGGGGCCTGGGCCTCAGAGCGGTGGGCCTGGATTCCATTCCCGGCCTCACCCCTTAGAAGCCGCGAGACCGCGCACAAGTTACTGACCCTCTCTGATCCTCGGTTTTCTTATCTGCCAAATGAGGGCAGTGATTATATGCCCTAAATCCGTTAGAGGGTTCCTGAGGGCCTTCTGCTGGTACACTAGGGATGGAGGACGTGATGACTGCCACAGGTCTTGGGCCCACGCGAGGACAGGCCTGCTCATCCAGTTCCCTCCATCTGGCCTCAGAGCCGCTGCTCTTTCCCGGCTGTCCTAGAAGACAGTCTGTCTCAGGGCTCTATCATTTCACTGAAATAATGAGTTTCCTGAATGTCAGAGCCAACCCTTGCCACCTGGAAGGCCCAAAATATATTCTAAAGCCAGATAGAAAATTATTTTTGGGTTATGCATTGTTTGGGATTATCCATTGCTTTGAGTTATCTGGGAGCCGTGTCTTAGTCATTCTGGGGGCATGTCTGGGTCTTGGCTTCCCTCATTATTGCAGATGCCCTGGCAGGCTGAGCATACACACCTCCTGGGGTCCTGTGCCCTGGGTTGGGGGAGTGGATGCTGAACTGGTGGAAGGTGGCAGGGAGGGGGGTGGAGGAGGGATGGTGCCCAACAAAGGGTAAGCAGACCTTTTCTGCATGTGACAGCCCTGCCTTCCCTGGGTCTCAGGAAAGGGCAGGCTGGGCTGTGGGGACCATGAGGGAGGATTGGGGACCATAAGTGACTCCCCTTTCTCTCCACAGCTGCTGATGGAGACAGTGGGCTCTGATATCCGCAGCTGCCCCCTCTGCCAGCTAGGTTTCCCCGTCGGGTACCCAGATGATGCCCTCATCAAACACATTGACTCCCACCTGGAGAACAGCAAGATCTAGGGTGCCTCGCCCACCCACTGGCTGTTTCTTCATCTTCTCTCATCACCCCCAAACACTCACTTTGAATGCTGCATGAATCTCGTGGGGGGCCCCTGCCCCTTGCGACCCCCAGATACCTCCACTAGCTACTGAGTCCATGTGTGTGCCGTCTTCCCTGGTCTAGGCACCACTCAGCCCTGGCTCTTCCTGGAAGGCCAGCCGAGGCTCTCCCCAGCTCCCTACCTTCTGCTGGGGAGGTAGGGATCTGGGCTGGGATGGGGAGGGGCCTACCCCACCCAGCCTCTCCCTCTGCCTTTCTGTTCTCAAGACAGGGTTGGATCCAAGAAGATGTCTAGTGCTTGGGCCCAGGGGAGGGGGAGGGTGTCAGAGGACTCTGGGCGCTCCCCCAGCCTCTCCCCAGATGTCCATCTTCCTCAGGCTGTGCTCTGTCCAGGGAGTGCCTCCCTGTGGGGGCCCGGAGCCTGCCTTGTACACTGATACCGGTTCCTCCATCCCATGGCCAGCTTGGGGCTCTTGGCACAGGGCCCCTTTCGGGGAAGGAGGCATCTTGTTTCTGGCCATTGCCTGCAGGCCTGTCCTGTTCTCCTCATGCTCTGCTCCTCTGGGGAATAGGGAGGGTGGGAGTGGAGAGGGAGGACCCTGCAGGACTGGGAGGATTCAGCCTGCAGAGGCTGCCCTGAGGGCAGGGGGCACGGGGGACACCCTGCACCATGACCCCCAGGCCAGGGCAGTATCTGTGCCAGCCTCCCAGGTCCCCACATCCCCCTAGCACCAGGACACAGATTGTTAAGACAGATGCCCCCCTCCACCCTTACCCTAGTCGGGTCCCTGATACCACAGGTGACACCACGGGTGCCCTGGAGCCCGTGTGTGACTCGGCCTCTGTTATTTGGGTGGGTGTCATCAGCCCTGCCTCCCAGGCCAGAACCTGCTGATGGACCCAGGGTGCTGTTGGAGATCAACTTCAAAAGAGCTAACCCCTTTTCCATCCCCTAGTGACCCACATTCCCTCTGTGAAATCTACCTCAGAGTTGTACCCTCAGAAGGATGGGTAAGCAGGAGGCCAGGGGGTCCCCAGGGCTGAGGTGGGGAGCTTCCTGCGGCAAGAGCCTGCTGCCCCACGATGAATCCAACCTCCCCCCCACCACTACCACCACTGCGAGCATCTCCCAGGTCTCAGCCCCGGGCCGGTGGCAGTGGGCGCTACTGTCAGTGCATGTCCCATTCTGATCCAACACTTCCAGGCCCCCCTCCCCCACCTCCTCACACCCCTCCCTTCCTCCTCAGCGCAGGGGAGTGAAGAGGTGTGTCAGGCAGGAAGGGGCCAAGGGACTCCAGAGACACATGGCATTGTACCTTGAGTGTCCCCCTAGGGTGGGGGAAGGGGCCTGGAGAGGGAGGTGGGGGCCCCTGAGCTCTCTGAACAAGTTGAAATCCAAATAAAACTTACCTGTTCCATCTGCTCTTGGTCTGTGCCCTCCATGGCTGAGGTGGGGGGTGGGGGTGGGGAGAGAAAACCCTTAGTAGCAGGAGGTTTTGCAAACTCTCAAGGAACCACAACCATAGCAAAGTGGGCACTGAACAAGGAGGAGATGCATGGGCCATCCATCCATATTTTAGGGTGATTGTGGAGACATGGGTATGCAAGTGGCCACAAATGACTTGTGACATGGAGTTTATTTAAAACAGGTATAGAGGGATCCCTGGGTGGCTCATCGGTTTGGCGCCTGCCTTTGGCCCGGGGAGTGACCCTGGAGTCTGGGGATTGAATCCCACATCGGGCCCCCTGCATGGAGCCTGCTTCTCCCTCTGCCTGTGTCTCTGCCTCTCTCTGTGTCTCTCATGAATAACTAAATAAAAATATTTAAAAATAAATAAATAAATAAAAAATAAAATAAAACAGGTATAGAGCAGTAGATGGTGTCTTTGTGACAGAGCACCAACCAGCCCTGAGCAAGTGTCAGGGACTCTTGAATTTTCCCTCCCAGCAGGTCTGGTAGATAGGTAGAGGTTCTGAAGCCTTGGGGATTCAGTAGCAGCTAGGTCTTCATCCAGTGATTTCTGCATGGCAGGAACCAGGCTGGGCCTCAGAGAGGAAGAATCCGGGTTCCACGTCCTTATGGCTCTGAGAGCAGTGGTGCGGCTGGGCTCCAGGCTCAGCAGCTGCCTTGAAAGCCCCACAACCTGGGAAGTCAAAGCCAGGTTATAAGCCTGTGACTTCTGCCCCAGTCAGGGCTGTGCCCTCTGTCTGCAGAAAAGGCCTGAGCTCTGTTCACCAACTCTGGGTGCCTCTCATTTCCATGTGACCCCTTCAGGCCAAGGATTCACTTAAAACGGGGCAATTGCTCATCGAAGGCCAAGGTTCAGCTCCAGATCCAGGGCAAACATTCCTCCCCATTCAGTGCCAAGTCCAAACCCCAACAGGGAGATGTTCCAGCTTCCCCTGCTCCTTTTTTTTTTTTTTTTTTTGCAGTTAACAACTACAATTGGCTTCTAAAAGTTTTTCCAACCTTGATTCCATCTGCAGCCAAATCCTGAGTGCCAAGGAAGGTGAGAAAAGCCATCCCTATGGGACATGGCTTCATAAACCATGCGAAAGAACGTTCTGGAACGTTCTGGAACATGGCACTCAGTGCATCTTGGCGCTCTTCCATCTCAGTCAACTCATGGGGAAGAAGGCAGCACCCAGGTTTCTGTGTTTGGGTCATCTTTGGATCTCGGGACGCATTTGCTAGCATTCACGTGAATTAGGGGTGGTACAGGGACATGAAGCAAAGAGAAATCCCAGTCATTAAGAAAAGGGCACGGGATGACCTAGGAATGAACTACAAGCAGGGACATGACCTGGGTAGCCACTTCTGGTCCTCTGCATGTCTGAAGGTAGGGAGAATCCAGGTATCCCATAGCCTGGACACTTTCCGGTCACCAGGGTGAGAGGTGTGTGGGGACATAGGGTGCATATCGTGGTAGTTTGTCTCCTTGATTTCTGGGGACTTGGGAAGAGGCTTGGGTGCAGGGTGGGAAGTTGCTGGGGGCTGGGAGGGAAGTGGGGGTAAGGGAGAGAATTTGTGCATGCCCAGCCCATGTCCTCCAGAACCGCAGCCTCTCATTTAATGCCCCCATACACACAAAGGAGAGGACAAGAGAGATGGGTAAGCTGGAGGAGGGCTGGGGAGCACTGGCAACACTCCTGTCCTCCGGCCAAGGAAGATGGTGATCAGACAAGGTGGTGGCTACTCGGGCTACAACTTATCTGTGGGAGTAATGGGAGTGTGGGGCACTAGGGCCTGAGAGAGTGTGGGGAGCAAAGGGATCCAGATCACTAGGCTTCTGGAAAGATGAGGCTGGGACAACTTGCACAGGAGCAAAGTGGAGGGAAGACCTCTGTGGAGGCTGGAGAAGACGCCCAAGGGACCCACTGGCTCCTGCCAGCACAGGCCCAGGGGCAGATGAGGTAGGTGTCAGGAGATTCACAGGAACCAAGCCGTCATGGTTCCATCTCCAAGTGTCCAGTGAAGGGTCAACACCAGTCACATTCTCTCCAGCTCTGGCTCCTCTGCCATCAGTCTCTCCCTCACCCACGAGCTGCCTCAGCCCTGGGGACCCTGCATTCCTGCCCCTCTCCTGCCAGCATCTCCAGCCAGGTCTTCCAGGCCATGGAGACCTCTGCCCCTCTCCTGGGTCCCTGTGTAGACCATCATGTCCGCTGAGGAGCAAAACAGCTCCTTTCAGAAGTTGGGGGGGGGGTGCTCACGCATGTGAGCGCACGCGCCCGTGTGTGTATGTGTGTGTGTGTATGTGTCAGGGGAGAAGCTGATCGCTAACAAAGAGGAGGGGTGTGTGGGTGAGTCAGCCGTGTTAATGAGAAACAACTCACCCTGCTGATGAGGACTAATGAAGAAAAACAGAGGGGGTGACATCTTTATATAGGGTAGGGGGGAGCAGGACAACTCCCTCAGGCCCACCTCTCCCTCAGCAAGGACAAGAACAGAGCAACTTTGGCTTCCCCAGGAAGAATTGAGGTCAGACGCAAATATGAAGCGTTGAGAACCAGGAGGGTCCTAATGGGGAAGAGGGGGCACAAGGTGTCTGGGGGCAGAAGCCAGCTCCTGTCGGGGAACCGTGATAGATCCTCTGGTGCCCTGCTCCTGTTCCTGCCCTTCCTCCGATCTCTCTGTATTGATTCCAGAGAAATTCTAGGCTCTCGAGACTGTGCCCCTGGATTGCCCAAGTGCCTTTAAGGTCTAACCACACCTTCAGGGCTGGGAGGGTGCTGGTGAGGATGCACCAGTGTGCCAGTGTGTGCGCTGCGCTGCTGCAGCGTAGACTGTCTGTGGCAGCCCCAGAGATGCCTTTGGTTGGGGGCATTGACTGTCTATAGAGATGGTAATGACCCAGGGAGGCCTGGCCAAGTCCAGGGCTGGAAGGGGCTGGCACAGGGAGGTGGGGGTGACTCTGGTATCTGCTGGCTGCCCTGTCCTTGTGGCAGAGGCAGAAACCCCTGAGAACCCACAGCTCCACCCACCCTCTGTGCCAGTTCAGCCAAGGGCAAGGGCACCAGGCGTGCCTTGCAGATGTTCCAGTTGGCTGTGTGAGTGTGGGTATGGGGGGAGGGAGGGGAGAGGCTGGGAGTGGGGACAGGATGGGTGTTGGCCAACACCTCCTAATTTGCATTACCACTGACACCCTTCTTGACCAAGAAAATGGAGCCAGAAATAACAAGGGGGAAGGTGTTTCCCTGGGGGGCTCTTGGAGGTTCTTTCCTTGCCTCCAACACTCCCACAATGCGAGGAGGGACGCAGGAGTTCAGGTCTCTGCCAGCCGCACAGCTGGCCCCTCAACAGGGGCAATGCACCCAAGGTCGCTCTTCCTTCCTCAGATTGGAGTCGACACCCCTTCCCGACGGCCCACATCCTTTGGCTCAGACACCTCAGATGCCGGGTGCTACTTCAATCATTCTTCGGAGCTGAGTCCCCTCACCCTTCCATCCTCTGGGAAACCCTCTCCCTGGGGGCCCTCTCACAGCTCTCATGACCCCAGCTCTGGCCAACATTGTTCTCTGCAGGCTGTGTCCTGCTGCTCTGTCAGACTGGCCATTTCCCAACCTGGGAGCTGCTCAAGGGAATGTTCTGCGTGAGAAATAGTCCAAACCATAGCAGGGGAGGTTGCGAGTGGATTCTAGAAGTGGCATGAGGTGGACCAGGGTCCAGTGTGAGACTCTGGCCCTTGGTCGATGGGAGGGTCAGGTTGAGGGAGGGGACCTCCAGCTCTCTGAAAGGCCTGTGGTCCGCCTTCACTTGGAGGTGGTTCCCATGCCAGACCTCTCCTTTGTGAGCTCCTTGGAGAAGAGGACCAGGACTGTGCCATTTAGGCCTATTTCTTCCAGGCCCCGGTGACTACCACACAGACTCCTGCAAATGCATGTGGTGCTCATCTAAGTGCATGGAATTCACTTCGGTCTCAGATGAGATAAGGAATGCCATGCAGCCATAGCCTGCTGGCAGGAGATGGGCTGAGTTAGGAGAGGCGGCTCCCTCTGGGCCAGAGGGGTCCTGGGACCTGGAGGAGCCAAGTGGTGAGGGTGGAGCAGAGCAGAAGGGCCTGGCAGGGAAACCAGGTCGCGAGAGACAGCCCAGAGAGCTGTGAACACAATGTGGGAAGGAGTGAACAGTGAACTGAGAACTCCCCCCCACTTCCCCCCTCCAGAGATGCTATTTTGGAGGGAGAGAATATATGCAGTGCAGGGGGCAGGGTAGGGGGGGAACGCCAGCTCCCACAGGGGTCAGCCGGACTGCCTGCTGCCTCCACTACTGCCAGCCATCCCCACAGGCCCTGGAGCCTCTACCTCGCTCCAAGCACTTCCCTCCCTGTTGGAAAAAATCTTCTTGCTCTCTTGAGCACAAGGGGAGAAAGAAAGAGCTAGGAGATTTGCAGCTGGCCTCTTAGCACCCCTTTGAGTCCTCTGAGGCCTCAGAGGGAGAAGCTTCTATTTCCTTTGCTTCCTTGGAAAGAAGATGTGGAGGGTACAGTGGGACATGCGGTGAGGCAGGTGCCAAGTACAGCTCAGAGGGCCCCAGCGCTTCTTGCACTGGCGCCCCCCCCGCCCCTCCCCCCCCCCCCCCCGCGCCCCATACTTACGATCCTCTCCTCCTGCCTTAACACCAAACTTAGGGAGTAAATCTGGTGTTCACAGAGGCCAGGGTGGAAGGTGTTTCCAGGACTAGCCAGGTTTGCCTGCGGGAGATCTGACCCCTCCAGGTGGAGAAGCCAACCTTGGCCCCACAAGCCAAGAAGGCTGGACAGAGGTTGGTGTTAAGTAGAGCCCTCGCTTGACATGAAGGGAAATTCCTGTGCCCCACTTCAACCCCTCTGAGGGTCCTTGACTCATTTTGGGATGAAGGCTCCAATGCCCTGTGGGTTTCTGTGGTGGCTGGGGGCAGGGGGCCAATGGAGTGTATAGAGA